GAAAAAAGAAGAAGTGAGACACCACAAGCCACGCACACAATTCCGCTGTAGACACCCATACCCTCAATCATGCAATATGTGGTAAATTTGGTACCACCAAATCTAATCCATACCAACTGTTGAACCCCCGGATCTCCCCGCTCCATCTGTTCGGAAAGTTCTGACTCGAAATAATCTGTCATGCTGTGAGTACATCCAACAGACGATCCAGCTGGGAGATCCGCCGTGCGAAGCACTTTTTGGAACAGACGTACAGATGGCGGAACTGTTGATTGGTCAAACATTATCGGCGCCGACAGTCTCGCTCTTCGCCTCAACCTATCAAAGTCACACAATTGAGTGCTGAGATGGGTCCATGTGTAAATGCACATCCATGTGGGTGTGATGCACTGAGCTCCGTGCAAGAACCGAGCCCCGTGCAACTTTAATCTCTCCTCCTTAGCCTCCCGTGGACAACAACGACAAGGGTCTGTTATTCGACAAAGTTACACCATTAGACTAGTCTAGACTAGTCAGCGCTGACTTATCTAGCTAATGGTGTAACTTTATCTTACATCTGTAACGAGTCGTTAGCACGTAACGGTGGAGGTCCAATGCGTGGAATCAGCAAGTATCAGATAGCTCCCAATCATGGCGCTGCTTCTGGTGCGAGAAAGGGAACTAGACTACTGCTCGTGAGAGGTATTCTAGCCCTCTCATGCAGCGATGCACACACACTGACCTCTCTTGCTGCAATAGAACGACTGTCTGTACCGAGTGCGATGAGTAGTGAAGATACTCGTACCAGCTGTAGTAGCTGATTTAGTGTCGGAGCAAATAAGGCCTCCTTGTGGATGTTATGGTCTTATTCTTTTAGGGCTCCGGATGGTAGCTTGGTCGTGAGCAGAGGAGGGCGAGTCCAGACAGCTCTTGCAGAGGCTCCACTGAATGCGGCCAACTACGTCTGTGGGGATGTACTTGCGGAACAATGAATACCCCGAACCGTAACATCCCCCCAATAACATTATCAACTCATAAAATACTAACGCCTCATCCGGTACTTTCAACCAGAGGAATGGTAGAACAGCGAGGCTCTCCATCGACCGATATGCCTCGAAAGGGAACTAATCCACCCGATACTTCTCGCCATATCGTCTCTCTCTTTTCTCTGAGGGACAAAACTTTCGACAACCCTCTTGTGAAGTCGTTGGAATGGAGAGCGATCACCATGCCAGTGGAATTATTCACCGACATACCGGCACTGACAATAAGTGTTATCACAATCATGACAGTGGTTGCGACCAAGTCCTACAGGACCCACCAAGTCCACGCATGCATGCTTACACACAATGGACGCACCAATCAAACATCGACTCGTTACCGCCTACCGAGTAGGAGCAAAGACATAGGGTCAAAAAATGAACCCCATCACAACTGAACCTCAAGAAACCTCATCCTCCGATAGCACCGAATTCACCAGACACCCAGACTTCACCATCCGAATAACAACACCAGAAAACTGCTTCCCTCCACCATGACATCAACGATGCGAATAAGCATACGAAGGACGGGAAAACTGCTTCCCCCCACCATGACATCAACGATGCGAATAAGCATACGAGATACTCCGAGTTTCACGGGCAGATATCATAGCGCAATGTAGGCATCCAATCGCCACTCTACACCAGTTCGGGGGATAGCTTTACACTCCCACACCAAAGAGCCAAAGATAANAAAACTGCTTCCCCCCACCATGACATCAACGATGCGAATAAGCATACGAGATACTCCGAGTTTCACGGGCAGATATCATAGCGCAATGTAGGCATCCAATCGCCACTCTACACCAGTTCGGGGGATAGCTTTACACTCCCACATCAAAGAGTCAAAAGATAAATGCACTCGGCGACAATCTGGTGGAGAGGCGAAGATTGCCTGTTCGGTCCATTGCATTGATATGGTCGATGCGAAACCACGCAAAAAACGTTTAACGTCGTGACGGTTCTACGGCTTTCGGCACGAGGAATGAGTGGTCTTGATTGAGCAACACGCAAATACTTGATATCTCAAGCAAAATGATTACTTATAAACACGCGACATTTTCTTGGGTACTTCGCTTCGTGTGACGGTGGCTGTTGTTGCTGATCCCTTGTATCAAGGCTCAGATGCTGTTCCCTGCCCAACGAGACTCTGACTCATCATAACCTCCATCACTTGGAAGGCAATAATACACGGTGTGGGAGAAGTGATATTGCGCCGCGGAAGATCCCCCCTTGTTGAAGACATCCAGAGGGTGTTTACAGCAAAACATGGTAATCCCGCGGTAAACTTCGAACGTAAGAGAAACCCCCGCCCATGCGATGGCGTGGAGTACCCGATACACTCACATCTACTACTGGAAAACAACTAACTGGATGATAGCATGCTATTTCGCAGGATGGAAAACGGACTACGCGTGCCACATGATTGGACACACACGCGCAGTGCGTGGGAGGGTACTCGAGCAAATAAACGGTAGGCAGCGGGCAAGCGCATGGGTTGTGTCAGTACGCTGGTCACCCACAATGTTGCGCGCTCATTGGATATTCGAAGCGACACAGCCACAGCATAGACACCGGGAGAAACGTGAGAGGGAAGGTGTTAGTGCTAAAGTTAGCCGGTTGTGTCAGTAAGCTGGTTACACACAATGTGCGCGCTCATTGAATATTCGCAGCGACACAGACACAGCAGACAACGGAAGAAACGTGAGAGGGAAGTTGTCAAGTGTTAGAGTTAGTTGGTCGATCAAACTGAGCCTGCGCTATTGAACATTCGTCTGTGTGTGAACCTTGTGCTTGGGAGCGTGCTGGAATAGTTCGTGGGGCATGAAGCGCGTGGGGAATTCGACGTTTTCAAACCGACCACACGGTCTAGCGGCTGCCCCCGCGAGCGATCCCTGTTGAATCTCCGTTGGCAAGACAAGCGCTGCTAAAGCGTACGGGGGCCGTGCGGGATTATCCCCTCGACCTTCGATAGTGCCTGGGTGGTATGACAATCCCTCAGAAACTCGTGCTCCTGGCCGCGGCACCTCCCCCCTTGCAGAAAGCAGTAGTCCGCGGTCCCCGGGAAACTGTGCTGCGACGGTCACGCGATATCCCCACTTACGGAAAGCAATCAAACGCGGTTGTCTCTTTTGTTGTGATGCAATGCGTGTACACTCAGCGGTCGACGAAAATAAACGGGGGGCACGGAACGTGCAGAGCTCACGGCACAAACGCATGAGGGTTAGAGTTGGTCGGCGAGGTAGTTGTTCGGCGATGTGTGCAAAAACAAAACAGTGCGTGTGGTAACAACTGACGACGAAACAAAGGAAAGTGCGAAGCGGCAGCCGGAACATGCACAGGTGAAGGGGAACGGACGATACCCGAGTTCGATTCTCGGATTGGACACCATGTAACGAGTCGTTAGCACGTAACGGTGGAGGTCTAATGCGTGGAATCAGCAAGTATCAGATAGCTCCCAATCATGGCGCTGCTTCTGGTGCGAGAAAGGGAACTAGACTACTGCTCGTGAGAGGTATTCTAGCCCTCTCATGCAGCGATGCACACACACTGACCTCTCTTGCTGCAATAGAACGACTGTCTGTACCGAGTGCGATGAGTAGTGAAGATACTCGTACAACTGTAGTAGCCGATTTAGTGTCGGAGCAAAGGCCTCCTTGTGGATGTTATGGTCTTGTTCTGTTAGGGCAAGCTCCGGATGGTAGCTTGGTTGTGAGCAGAGGAGGGCGAGTCCAGACAGCTCTTGCAGAGGCTCCGCTGAATGCGGCCAAGTACCTCTGTGGGGGTGTACTTGCGGAACAATGAACACCCCGAACCATAACATGATGACTTGTAAGTATCCCCAGGCACCTTCGGCGTAATACGCATACTATGCAGATCTTGATTTCGTCATTTTGAAACGGGCCCCTCTTCACTACAGTCACCTTGGGACTGTGTGGAACTATGTTGTCCGACCGTAGATGCAGGTTGCTGCTGCTTTCCGTTGATCTCCTTGGATGCGCTTTTTCCATAGCCTTGAAAAACCTGCGCCATAGTCTATCTTGCAAAAAATGAATTCCAATTGATGAAGAAGGTCTTCGTGTCGGCCAGGGTGGCGAAGGAAGAAATACGTGTAGATTCAATATTGCACGAGGCTCGGTTCTAGCACGGAGCTCATGGCACTAGACCCGAATGGATGTACATCATGGACGCAGCTACACGCCCGTTGTGTGAGCTTGGCAGATCGAGGCGAGGAGCGGGACTATTGAATACAGCAGTAACCCCGCCGAATCCCGCCGTCTGTACTACTGTGTGGAAAATGAGTGGCCAATCAGAATGCGACACCGTGGATCATCCCCAGGATCTACATTGCAACATCTCCAGGGAGGCGACTCCCTGCCAACCCCGCCCCTACACCACCCCATATCCCACAAAGCTTTCGTTTCCTGCTCACTCTGTTAAAGTACGCACAGCAACACCGCTCGCTCAATACAACCATCCATGCACAGTGACCCACGACACCGCGGCAGCGCTCCCGGTCATGAGGCAGTCGCAGTTCGGAACGATCCATACCTCGATACCGAGCAAGAACATCATCATGATGAATCTACTCTCGCACATGATGAGTCCAGCGCTATCATCATGCTCGGCTCCTTCGTGGCGGGTGCATTGATGGGGGCGATCATCTGCGCACGGGTGTTCATGTTCGCGCCGATGGTGGTCGTGCTTCTCTGCGGGGCCGGGGCGGCGGTGTTCACGAATTCAGACAGCGAGGTGGGGAAGTTCGTCGTGAGGCTGCGATGGGTAAATTGCATTCCCTACCCTCTACCACAAATGTATAGACTAGTCTAATAGCCTACGTTAAAGGTCATCGGTATCTGAGGGGGTATCCTTTGAACGTGTGCTGACCTACTGCTGTCGACACACAACAACATATTCGCCTGATTGAGAGCGTAGCATCTGATTGAGAGCGAGATTGCGCGATACGCTGTAGCCGGACTACCACTGAGAGGTGGAGCTTGCTGTGTAGCTTGAATTGAAGGGCTAGCCCGTAGCTTCAAGCCGCTACCCTGGTCATCCTGTGGGAGTCTCTCGTTGTGGAGCTACAGCGGGGAGCAGAAGCTACAGCAGAGCCCACCGCCCGACGCGATACCGCCCTGAAACAGTTTGAGCAGAAATAGCCAATCTGGGCAAATCTAGCAACTTGTCTAGCTCCTCGCTGCAGCATCCGATGACGATGACACGCATATGCTCGCGAAGCTGCTGATGAGACCTTCAATTTGCACCGCTTCTTGGAATAGCCCGTCCCCTACTTGCCAAGAAATGGCAAGAGGCGTCTGGACCCGAAATTTCAATTTTTTTGGCTCTCGCTCTCAATCAGATACTTCGCTCTCAATCAGGCGAATATGTTGTTACACGTGAACTCTACATATGTATATAGATTCACGCGGACGGGAAAGTCCACATATTGCGGTGCATAGCACATCGATCGAGGTAGGAGAGCGGGTGAGTAGTCGCAATCATGAGACTGACAAAGGTCACCCGTCTGCAGTACAGATTATTCCAATAACGAAACAAACCTCGCTCAAACCGGAGGCCGCACGAACAAATATATCGTATTTTGTATATTTGCTCGGCAAAAGCAGCGGAAGGTGGGTAGAGTGTGCAAGACATGGGGTGACCCTAAAGACACGGGGTAACCCTCAGGGTGACGGGCCTACCTAGCCAACAGCAAGACGCGACATTCACATACGAAAAGGTTTAGACGACCGAATGCTACTATTCAATAATTGTGGTGGCTTGTCTCAGGTGGCGCATGCCCAACTTTTCTTCGCCGTTGGGGGGGGAGACATTCAACACGTTGAGAGCCGCCGGATTCTCCTTCATCTGGATACGAGCTCGCCTTTCGACTTGTCAAACTTCCTTTCTTTCTTGAATCTACAGCTGAAGACTCTCACATTCTTGTACACCTCAAGAAGAGACAATGTATCTGTATTTTTTCATTCACACGCCCGCTATTTGTTTTCCACTAAACCAGCTGCCCGTCGCAGGCCGGCCAAATTTCCCGTGGAGTGGGCAAGTGGACCTCCGACGTTTTCCTGGCCTTGTTTAGGGTCGTTCGAGAGTTCAACTACAAGTATCAGTTGGCGGACAAGGTAATCACCATCATTTTCCCGATACAACGTCTGTCGTGCTCCCGTCGCTTCGGGAAACTTGTAGAGAGATACGCAGGTAATGTTTGCGGTGCAACATCTGGACACGAAAAAACGCACTATTATTGATCATCGCCGTGTCACCCGCGCTCTCCAAGCGTTGTATGGACCAATCATTAGCAAGCTTCAGGCTAGGCTTTCGACACTATTGGCCGCCTCGGGCTTGCCCGAGCTGGCCTTTTCCGAACAGTTTCTTCGGTTGTGGTATTTTGGGTTCGGTCTCGTGCGGGGGTATTTTTTCTCTATTTTGGGTTCTACCCCGCGCCTGAAATTTGATACCGCCAAAGAGTAGCTTATTTTACCGATAAACTTCGAAGCCTTCTTTCATTTCCTTGCCAGGTGAAGATTACCGCGCAAGAAGCGGCGAGGAAGGTAAAAGCCGAGGTGCAGAGGATCGGCATCTGTGACGGTGTTAAGACCAGGGCACGCTCCCTGTGGGAACAAGTCCACAACGAACGTTAGACTCCAGCCACATTATTAATGCTACCATATGTATATATATGTTAATAGTGGTGTTGAATTGCATTGATTGCTGCTCAAGGGTCGGAATGAGAGAGTTTGACGGTGCCGTTCTTCTAATGCCGATACGAGTGATCGCCATGTCTTCGACACATGAAAACTTTGAAGGTTCAAGGCAAGACTACGTGGACCCATGGATGAACCTTAACGAACGAGCTGAGCTCGACCGCAATGAGTCGAGGTGCCTTGCTCCCTCTACCGTACACGGGAAAACATACACCGGCGACGCTATCGCTGCAGTCCAAAAATGTGGAATGGGCAACCCCCCCCGCCCGCCCCTGTTTTTTCAAGTCTTCTAGCCCTCATCCGATCCTTTCGCTACCACCCGACCTGCTTGGTCCTTCCTGCTCCAAGTACTCGAGTAGCTGTCGGCAATGGGTATCCACAAGCGCGAACTAGAGTGAAATTCCACGTCGCACATACTCTCTTTCAAATATTTCCCCATCTCATCCGTCGCGTCGTCGGCGATTTTTTTTTTCTCATACGTTCCGTTTGGCGCAATCACCTCATCACGCTCGCAGCGGACCACCCCAGCCGGTCAACCTCCCATCCATGCTGCACAAGGGCAAGACACGATGGTGCTGATGATGGAAGAACGTCAACTTGGTTTCTATGACGCGCGGATGCGCTCGAATCAAAGTCTTGTTCCTCATCGTCCTCCGAAGACGAGGAGACTGCTCCGCTAAAGTTGTTCGACGCTTGACCCAGCCCCACAGCATCGACCACGCTCCAGGCAACTACCAGCGGGCGAAAGTAAACTCTGCGCTGTCGGGACAATTGTGGTTTTTCCAGCGTTGTGATGTACGTAGATCGTTCGCCGTTGGGCGCTCGTCTTGCTGCCGAGGTCAAATCCTCTTGAGGGCCCGCCTATAGGCAATGCGTCATCTTACTGCAGTGTCCGTACGAAGCGTGCTCGAGAGTGAGCGTTGCACGATTGCGCAGTGAGGTTGGGGTTCGCAGGATGAAAGGAAACTTTGCCTTTGTTTCTTCCTGAAATACTTCTAAATTTTAACTGCTACTGCTGTAGCACCAAGCAAGGTTGGACTCGTTTCCAATAACTTGTTGGTCCTGTAGCATGGGGGAGAAGAGTTTCAGGGCGACACAGATGAAGCCAATCATGTTGCCTCTGTGGCTCCATGCTAGGTAGGTGATGGAGTACTCTAGAGGACACCAGGAAGCCGGAACCATTTCCTCCTACTATTTCGTGCGATATTTTTTGGTGTGCCCAGCCTTGACTTCCTTGTGCTTCCGTGCCTTGGCATTGTCTGATGAAACACAAACGGCACTTGCGGGATGAAATATGAACGTTGAAATAGTGTTTTCCTGTTTGGTAGCCATGTCTCGGGTGGCTTCGAGCCCATGGCCGAGCGCGGATAAGCAGGAACCGATTGGCCTACGGTACTGTAGCGACTTGATCTTGGCGTCGATGACACCGGTGTATGCAAAGGTAGGTGTCCGCGAAATCGACGTTCACTATCGATTGAAAACTGAGCGTCCGTCTCAGGGTTCGCATCATCAAGGAAGGAGGGGGGGGGGGGG